GTGGTAATGTCTCCTAGATCTTAATATTGTAATTTTAAAAATGTATAACTGATATTGTGTAACAGGAAGAAAAGGTCTAAAAGAGCAGGGGAATTGTGAGGGGTAGGGGAAGGGGAAAAAGGGAAAGGAAAAAATATGAGAAGAGGAAAAACATTGATACAAGGTCTTTGCAAATAGGGAAGGGAGGGCAAGGGAAGGGGAAAAAAGATAAGAACCAAGAGACTCATGTAATGGCACAAGATCCCAATGATGAATGTAACTGTATTGTATACCTAAAATGTACCAATAAACTTAATGGGGAAAAAAAATATTAAGGAACACTAGAACTAACATATATAATACATATATATATGAAATTTTTAAATGGTTTTATTTGTATTATGAAGATATCTTAGCAAAAGATTCTATAACCCAGAGGAATGACAATGCTGACGGATGTAATTTAAAAGCCACTTAGCCTTGATAGGCTTGAATGCTTGCTTTCAGATGCCAGTGACTCAAATTTATAAATAATTGATATGTGCATTAAACATATTTTGTGCATCAACATATACTTTCATCTTAAATGAAAAGTGCACACAATCCAAACATTTTTCTCTTAAAAATCAATCTTGAGAACAACCATGCATCAAAAGGGAAGTCAATACAACTAAAATATTTGTATAAGTAATGTCCTCAAGACATTAGGGCAAATGGTTATACATATCTTCCTCTTTTCCCAGATGGAGGGGAAGATTTTAAATGTGGAGTGGTCTCCTGCTATATCCTAGGAACTTGGGTCAGGAAAACAAGTAGGTAGAGGCTGAAGATTATTGCAGATATAAAGACCTAGAAAAATTTTCCAGTTAATGGCAGTCTGACTGTAAGAAGCTTAGAGAAAGAAGTGGTGAACAGTGAAGAAAGAGGAAAAATACAATGTGGGGGGAAATGAAAGGAATAGATATGAGTAGAGGACCAAAATGACATAAAAGTCACAACAAACAGGTTCATTTATTTCAAAAGGAAATCAGGCTCCTGAAGAGATTTCTGGGATGTGGTACAAATACATGAAATGGCTTATTTCTAAGAATACTAAACTATTAAATACATCTGATCCAAAAGGTACAAAGTATCACACATACACACACACACACACACACACACACACACACACACACCACAGACTCAAAACTAAGCTTCTTAGTCTGTTGTTTTGTGATTACAATAAATTACACACACTACTGGACGGCAATTCACTTATCTATATACGTAAAGTTCACCAATGGCTTGCTTGTTTTTCATCTACTGAAGTGATTTAATCACTAACACATCTATATTTGCAGATCCACAGAAGTTAATCTTATCATCACACAGCCTAGCTATAAAGGCCATGTGTGTTCTGAGTATTTTGTGTGCTCTTTAGCTTCCTAGATTCTCTGTTTATCTTAGAATAACTGAGTTTCAAGTTAGAATTGAGTCTCCTTATGAAGTAAGCATTGCATAGAGAGAGAAGATTCAAGTGGGTGGGGATAGAGAATTGCCTTACAAAGGAAGGAGATTTGCTAATACACCCCAAAGAGGATGGCTGTTTCCTCTTGATCTTTTCTCTAAATACATTGTGCTGTTTCACAGCTTTGCATTAATGCTGCTCATTTTAGTAGACTGTAATCTCTTCCTGCCTAGCAATGATTTGTTTATTTGTCTGTCTTCTCATCTAGACAGTGAATTCCTTGAAGGCACAGATGAAGAGTCATTCATCTGTTTATTCTTGGCACCAGGCGTGACACATCAAATACAATATTTCCCATGTGTGTGATGAAACTTGTTATCTAGTGAAACTTTCTGACTTATGAAACTTTATATTAAAGACTATAAAGTAAGCTAGAACACATTATCTTGTGCCTCAAATCCCTTAACTCCTGGATAGTCAATGGAAATTTATATGATCAGTCACCAAATGTTAACAATTTTTTTTTTGGTACCAGGGATCGAACTCAGGTCCTTGCACTTGCAAGGCAGGCAGTGGAACCACTGAGCTAAATCCCCAGCCCTATTAACAATTATTTTTGATTGGTAGAATCTAGGATACTTTTGTCCTTTTTTATACTTTCCAATTTGTTTTCATTTTTACAGTGTGCATGTTGTCATTTTAACAAAATAATAATAACATTTTCAAGAATTGGAGGAGTTATTTAGAGCAATGTACAGAAAGAGTGCCTTCTGTAATTGGCAACTAATAGTAAATTGAAAGTCCTTAAGCTTAAGGTTGGCATCATGGACAGTGCACGGCTCTCCAAGGAGACAGCAGAGTGAAAGGAATCATAAATAACACTGATCTAGTGAAGCAATTTGTCCTAGTTTGAACATGTTCAAAGAGAAATGACAACTAGCCTTGGAAGCTCTAGGCTTCAGCTAGTTCATTGTGAACTGGTTTTTCTGTGAAGAAACAGAGCTCTGAGTAAGAATTAAATGATGTATCTACAAGGTGAGATAATTGCATATTATCACCCACAGTTGTGCCAGTCTGTCTAGTATGTGGCACAACCAGTTCCTGGAAGAGCTCAAGCACTCATCATCTCAGAATCCTCTTTCCTCATAAGTGGATAAAGACCCACTTTCAATCTTGAATTTATAATGTGAAAAAAATAAAACTGACCTAAATAGAGCTGGGGATGTAGCTCAGTGGTGCCGCACCTGCCTGGAAAGCACAAAGTCCTGAGTTTGATCCCCGGTACCAAAAAAAAAAAAAAAAAAACTGACCTAAATATAATGTGAAACATTCATTCATAAGATTCAAACCCTTCTCAGAAAGACTATGCACAGGTAAACATTTGTGCCTATCAGTATTTCTTTATGGAAGCTGTCTCGTGTGCTATCACTCTGCCTCAAAAGCCATGCATATTTTAAATATCCCTTTGTTTGATGTCCCCAAAACTTTCATACCCTCCATTATATAAGAAGAGTGAGGGTCATGCTTTTCCTTTTGCAAGTGGGAAAAGAACAATTAGGTAAACAATTATAGGAGATTATTATAGGAAATTATAGGAGAAAATTATTAATTATAGGAGAAAAATATATATATATACATATGGAAGTTGTGGGTCTGGAGACTCATATGTATACCCAGAGGTACATGTATACCAATTTGAAAACCATTCCCTTAGTCTTCCCTCTCCCGATGGCGACCCCTTTCTTTAATTCATAGCTGTGAAAACCAAAGCTTAGTGATATGACCTACCCCAAACTACAATCTAGGTCTTCCAAATTGCCAACCAATAAGTTGTCAATTCTTCCAAACTGCTTTTCACTGTGACCCTGGATAAATATTTTAACCTCATTGAGGGTTATGTTTCTCATTTGCAAAATGGAAAAGGTAGTATAGATGATCTCCATGCTGAATACCTTTCCTTTATTCCTCCAGATCCACTTTCCAGCCTTCTCCACTCTGCACTGGATCCCACCAAGTAAGTATAATTCTTCCAAACTGCTTTTCACTGTGACCCTGGATAAATATTTTAACCTCATCGAGGGTTATGTTTCTCATTTGCAAAATGGAAAAGGTAGTATAGATGATCTCCATGCTGAATACCTTTCCTTTATTCCTCCAGATCCACTTTCCAGCCTTCTCCACTCTGCACTGGATCCCACCAAGTAAGTATATTTCAGCTGCATCACTGGGCTCTCCTACCTCTGGATCCTGGTTGGGTGCAGTCAATAGGAGCTCCTGGCAAGAGCTTGAAAGGCAGAAAGGGAGTCAAAATGGACCATCTATTAACCAGCTCTCCTGTGACTGGTTGTGTCATACCAGTGGTATCTGGCATTTTCTTCATTCAACTGCCCTCTCTAGGTTCCAGTGATTTCTCCCTTCCCTCTCCCTTTCCAGAGGTGGTGACATCTTCCCAAACAGTTCCACCCCAGTGAATCCACACTGGATACCCTTATCTGCCTCCTGTTCAGTTTAGATAAAAGAAGGGAAAAGAACTGGAGACCACTCGACATTCTCAACTTCCTTAATCCCTCAAAAAAATTTTTGAAAGAAATAACACAGGAAGAATTGCAGGTGGAGCACATTTTGGGGAAAAGATCAGGAGTTAAATTTGGGCTACTTTAGGTTTGAGATGTTGAGTTGGGTGAAAGATTTGGACTGGAAGAATAAATTGGAAGTGGGGTAAAATCAGATTTTTATTGCATATGATTAAATATGCAAATATGGGTGTTATTTTTTAAATATAAAATTATATGAAACAAAATCTGAAATTTCTCCTTCACTCTCTTCACTCCAAATCCTCTACTTTCCCCAGGAGTACCACTATTCAGGAGTTATTATGTGTTACAAAACTAAAAAGACATCTGAAAATTGTTCAGTCTGCCAGATTAGAGAATGAAGATCAACAAGAGTTTTTCACTGCCACATGTACTTCACTATATAAAAAAGATATAAAATCAGGCCTGGGGATTTAGCTCAGTGGCACCGCACCTGCCTTGCAAGCACAAGGTCCTGAGTTCAATCCTTGGTACCAAAAAAAAAGATATAAAATTATCCACATATATATGCATAAATTTTTTCTATTTACCTATGTCTTCCCTCTACCTTTGTAGTAATATTATTTCTATCACCTTCTGGCATTGGTGTTAAAGTAACAGAATTTCACAGATGCCTGGAATAAACAATATATTTGGGGTTTTGCATGCTTTTCATGAGATTGAACAGATTTATAATCAGTTCTATATTGTAATTTTTTTCTTTTAGTTATCTGGAATATATTTGAGCTGAGTAGTACACTCCATTTAAGAAATGTCATTGATTGTGAAGTACAGAATACACTTTCAGGCCCTGGTAATAATTCTCTAGACTCTAAGCTTTTATCTCTAAAATAGAACAAAGTTTTCAAAGCTTCCATTAGAAAAGGATAACCTTCAGAATTTGACTAATGGATTTCTGTTTTGTTGAGTTGGCAATTACTCTATGCAAGGAAAGTAATGATGACTCCTTAAATATCTAGTTTCTTATGGGCTTAGAGCTGCAGCTGTAATAAAACTCTAGTTTTTCTAGCCCTAGCTATTTGCCATTTCTCCCCTAAAATCAAAAAGAGAAAATTAATAGAACAGGTTTCCCCACCCTTTTCAGTTTGATTTTTGGCAGAGTTCTATAAAGACATGTTGTAGTAGAAACTTCTGAAGATAGGTACATCAACTCAGAAAAATAGAAAAGAAACTTCCACACACATAAATTATCCCAATCAGCTGTTACTATACAGCTGGCAGTCAGTGACTAGGAAAAAACTCCAAAAGCATCGCGTGAGTTCTCAAGAGGTTTACCATTTAACTATGCCAGTAAAAATTTACAATAAGAAAAAAGATCAATCTGAGTAGTTCGCAAATCAACTGAACCAAGGTATTCTGCTGAGGAAAATAATAATAATAATTACATGCTGTTCTCTGTGTTTTACTCTATAAATTTTCTTGACCCTTTGGCACTGACTACTCTCTTTTCTAGAGAGATCCAGCACACTGCAAAATGAGTATGTGTCAGGAGCAAGCATAGCAGAATAACAGTATCAGCTAATCATATTTAATTCAACTACTTGTTTTTTATGGGAATATGAACTTTTACTTGTGCTTTTCCTTTGCATTCATTTTTTGCCACAAAAATGTTCCTTTTTGCAGCATCAAATAAAACATCAAATTTTCATGGCTCCCCATGTCACGAGTGCTGGCAAATCTTGATTGTAGACTTGACTGGATTAAGACCCTTCTGGAGAAGTAAGTGCGTGCATTGTGAGGGCACCAACCTCATCAATGGGTTAACCCACTGATGAGTTCACAGCTGGATGGGCTACTGGGAATTAAAGTCTAGTTGGAGAAAGTGAATCATGGAGGCATGACCGTGGGGACCACATTTGGTCCCTGGTCCCTTCTCTCACTCTTCTACTCTGCTTTCTGGATGCCATGAGTTGATCAACTTTTCTCCACCGTACCCTTCCAGCATGATGTTTCTGCCTTGGAGCCAGCCAGTCATAGACTGAAACCTCTGAAACTGTGAGCTGAAATAAACCTCTTCTCCTTTAAATTACAAATGTCAGAAATTTTGTCCCAGCAAAGAAAACCTGTCCAAAATATGATCAGAACAAATTTGAGAATCATGTTCTGTGGTATCTGTGTTGTGAGCAAACGGGCTGGTCAAAGGACAATGCTATATATGACTTCTCTTCTTTTCCAAACCCTACCCCTACCTGCTTCTCCTTTTGGTGGAGATTTTCCTCAGGTTCTCTATCACCATCTTCCCTCTGCATTCCACTTACCACCATCCTAATTCATACCAAAACAACAATAAAATAACCTCCAAATGGATCCCCTTGCTAGAGTCCCTGCCCATTCCAATCTATCACACAGCCTTTGCAAAGACTCACCACTTTTCTGAAACACAAATGTTTTCCAAATCCTTTTTCTGATAAAAAATACTGTCCTTGTTCCCTATTTAATAATGTCTAAAAGTCAAGTTCAAAATCAATTCCTTCCATTTCTGGTCTTTGGTTAATATTAAAATGCAAGTTGTACTTACATATAGCCATTGTATTAGTCAACTTCTGGGACACAATATCAGATACTGACAATTTAATGGAGAAGAGGTTTAACTTGGCTCACAGTTTCAGGGGATTCAGTTCATGATCATCTGACTCCAAGGTAGAAACGTCACAGCAGGAGAACATGGTGGAGCAAAGCTGCTTAGTTCATGGTGGCTGGGAAGCACAGGAGTAGAGCAGTGCCAGAGAGGAAGGGGCAAGGGACCAGATATACACCCCATGGGTAATCCTCCATGACCCACCCAAACACCCAGAAGTGTGCTGTATTAATTCCCTCAGCATCACCCAAGCCAAACAAATTGACACTATTAAGCTTAGTCACTACAACTATATTTAACCAAGCACTGAAAAGAAATTTATCCCCCCAAAAAAGAAAAATAAATAAATCTGTGTAAAGATTTATTGTAAAAGTAAATAAATCTGTGTAAAATTGATGTGGAGCTTTAGGGAATGGTGGTGACTATTTAAACTTGTTATTGTTTTCTATTCAGTTAAAGAACAAAGGGTAATTTGACATCAACAGCTGATTTTCAGTATTCCTATCGCTTGGAAGCAATCACTTCTCTTTTATGAACTGTCCTATCACTGAAGGTTTACTGAAATCAAAGACAAATGTGCTTACCTGAACTGTTGAAAATCAGAGTGGTCAGAATCACACAACCTGTTGCTAGCTATTAAGAGGAAATATGCCTGGTATAGTTATTTCACAGAGCCCCCTGTCATATTGTTTGCTATTAATTATGGGAATTAAAATACTTTCCACAAAATATAGAAAGACAAACCTTATGACCAATGTTAAAACCTTTCTAGTGTGGCATGATTATTACTCTGTTCTTTATATGTTGTTTTACTTTTTTTGTAATTTTATGTTATCTTCAGAATCTTGAAAAATATGACCATTTTATTTTTTTTATTTTATTTTTTTTGGTACCAGGGATTGAATTCGGGTCCTTGCGCTTGCAAGGCAAGCGACGGAACCACTGAGCTAAATCCCTGGCCCAATATGTACATTTTAAACAAGAAATTTTAAAGTTTTCTTCAAAACTTCCTATGTGGTAAACTTTTCAATTTGGTGTTTTGCTAGACATTTTGAAATAAGCTCTAGTGGCTCATCTCATTTAAAGAGTTAATTACCAAATGGCATCTTTCAGTACCTATTAGAAATAATCACCAGGCTCAGCGCTCAATAAGGGGAGTTCATTCATTCAATCAAATTATTATTGACTAATTTGCATATAGAATGCACTCAACATTATTCAAGCAACCTATTGGGAAAGATGAATATAATTACCCTTGTTCAAAAATGGGAGTGACCAACAGTGCTAACAGTGCCATACCAAAGGGGCAATTCTAGTGCCACAGTTATGAAACCATACCAACTTTCAGGGCCATCACACATTTGATAGAAGATTCAGGAGTGGGAATTTGCAAAATGTCCTCAATGTTTCTACTTCATAAGGTTTAGATTTGCTCAAATTCCCTAACACTGCTCAATTTTGAAAACCTTTATAACATCAGATCTACCCAATCACTTTTCCTGACAACCCAAATATAAGATGTGATCCATACTGTGTACATGCTTTTCAAATGTTCCAAAACTCCCTCAGGTGTACCAACAGAAGTATAATAGTGAAGATAAGATGATAATCAAACAGCAAATATACATTGAATATCCATTATTTACAGGGCTCCATGCTGAAACTCTGTTAGAACACCTACAAATCCATCATTGCTCTAACGTATGTACAGCCAACTGTATATAAGACTTAAGAATTCTTTAGAAAAAATTTAATTCTATGTATTCTCAATTTTAGAATAAATATTTTTTCTCTTTCCCCACAAAAATATGTTTATTTGAAGTCATTTTCTTTAAGCTTATGTAGTACAATGATTGGTGCACAGAGTTACTTCAGAAGGTTGGAAAGGTGCCATGTATTGGCCCTTAAATTAATAATTCCATTTTTTAAACAGTGCAGATGAACTCTTTCTTTTAAGAAGGAAAATGTATAGGCAAAATTCTAAGAGAAAACATCTTGAATAATTTAAAATTTTCCAGCTAACCATAGAAAAGATAACAAAGTGTTACAAATCAAGTGTGTTACGGTTTTCCACTACACTGAGCCATCACGTCACAATTCTGTATGCTCATCTAAAACACACACAACACTCTCTCTCTAAAACACATAGCTTGTTGCTTTTAATGGAAGAGCGTTCTCAATACCTCTCAAATAAATGAAAATCCTGTTTATATTCTTGTCTGCTTCAGCTTATGACTTCATAAAAATATATTCTTCATTTCAAGCACAAAAAGAGTGTCCTAATTCCCTTCTTTGGCTGGTGGAATCTCTTCAGAATTCTTTGGGGGAAAATGGAACTTGCTCCCTTGATCCCAGGATGCAGTTGAAATGAATCTAAGATTTAAATGGCCCAACATCCTTAATGTCACCACCGACTCCTCATTCAAAGGGGTACTTTGAGTGGCAGGTGGAGTTATAATTATAGATGAGAAAAAAGCAACATCAGCAGCTGTCACTTCTGTTTGTTCCCAGCTATAACTGTCATCAGTGGGCAAATTGGCATAAACAGGCCTCCACAAGTGGAAAAACATTCAACCCCTGTGCTTCTTACACTCTGGGCACGCACAGTAGCCAGAGAGAACAGAAAGAAAATCTGACTGTCCGTGAACGAAGGGTGAAACCAAGAGAACAACAGCGACCTGAAAGCACCTCTTCAAAAGGAGCCTGAAATTTGAAGATTTTCTTTCCTTTCGGAGACTCCAAGTAAATAGGTTAGTGCCCAGAGTAAACCTATGCATTTTAACGCTGACCTCTACTCTACGTGATGTTAGTATTTCTGACAGAGGCTAAACAGAAGGGTGAATGATTAAATGAAAGAAAGTGATTTGAGGACTGTTATTTAGCTCATGCCTCTGAGAACAAATTATGAAATGGATTTAATTTATTATCCTCCCGTCCCCATGTTGGCTGTGTTCACGTTAGATGAATAGACAAAGTAAAAATGGAAAAATGAAACTGGTCTTGTGGCATGAGTCCCATTTTTTTGTAATGCCATTTACTTATGGCAAAAGGCCCTGGTTTCTTTTAAAATCGGTAACACTGGAGACTGAGTTTGTAATTTTTTTAATGTAGCCCCTAGAATTTCATTTCCTTAAAGAAAATGGGTAAATTGGAGTTGGGTCATTTTTCTGGGAATGAGTAAAGACAAAGTTTTCTTGTTTATTGTAAAATGTGTGACATGTTACTTTATGAGAAATCTGTTACAGAATGTATTTTTTATGTCTACAACAATTCTACCTAAAAGCTCCATGATCTCAAAGTAGTGCTGTAAGACTTTCCTCACAGATCCTTTTGAGAAAACCAAGATTTCAGAGAAATCTTATTTTATCTGCATATGATCCATGTTAGCCAATAGTTGAGTAGGATTTTCGAAGGTTAGTTTTGGGCCACCTATCTCAAACATTGACTATTTAGCACCTCAGGGAAAAGCAATGGAATTTCAAAGAACTAACCAAAAACTAGGCTTTAAGGTGCCAGTCTCATCCTATCTACATGCATGGAACAGATCCAAGTAGAAAGTCCTAAGTAATAATCTCATTTTGTTCAGTTCCAATCAGAAAGTCGACCACCTGTAAGCATTTTAATGAGACTTTTCATAGAAAAAGTGCACTTTTTAAAATGTCACTGTTGCTAACATTTGGGCTGCCTCTTGAAGGACACAGAGTGCTATCTGCACCAAGAGCACCTCTAGAGAGACATCCCATACAACTAAAACCACCAACAGTAACCCACCAGTTAAATTCTCATGAGAGCCTGGCTTCTTTCCAACAATGTCCAATTTTTAGGATGAGAGCCACAACTTCCCCTTAGGAGTTTTAAAGGTGATATCAATACTTCAACACACTTATTGTTTGGGCACTGCTCTTGAAAATATCAATTAACTTAGCATATCAATATCCTAAATCCTCCTGTGGATTAAGACAACATACGATAGATGATGTTACAACATAGATTATATGTTTCATTTATTTAAAAATTTATTAAGCAGTGGCTATTCAGTCTAAAATATTTTGTCATTAAGGCAATTTTAAGACTTCTAATATCACTCATCCCAGAGACTCCTTTTCTTCCTTTTCTCTGCTAAGAGCTCTAGGACTGAGATGGTTATCCCCAAGTTCCAAGTGTACTTATTAAGAAAGGAGATGGCTGATTGGGTTACTGGCTTGGGTTTCCTTTGATATAGATTTATTTATGCCCTATTTTAAACATGATTTTTTATTTGTGTTTTGTCTTCTTACTCTTCTAGAAAAAAACTATCCAAGATGACTGTCACTTACTCCAGTAAAGTAGCAAATGCGACTTTTTTTGGATTTCATAGGTTACTCCTCAAGTGGAGAGGCAGCATCTACAAGCTACTGTACAGGGAATTTATTGTTTTTGCTATTCTTTACACAGCAATAAGTTTGGTGTACAGGTACTTTGCTTTGCATGTCTCTTTAAATGGCCATCAAATATTATGTAAGAATACAGTCTCAAAAATCTGGAACCCTTTGGTTGCTGCTGACTTTTGCATTATGTTACCTCTTCCTTTGCATGAACTCTCTGTTGTCTTCTCTGCAGGATGGGGTGTTTTAATCCACACCTAACCATTCTATAGGATATTAAATAGTCTGTAACTCTCAGATTCAAGAGGCTCTCATTCCAACCCCACGTTAATTAATCATAAAGAAGTATTAGTCATGCTTCAAGGCATTGCTACAGACATAAATTGGACGGTTTTTAGATCTTTATTATGTCATGATTATGAACAGGAAAAGTCCACAAACAAGTAATTATTTGACTTCTCCCAACTGTCATACATGGTTTGAATTTGTGATTTGACTGCTGGTTGCAACTACATATGTAATTATATTCATGAGTGGTGTGTATCAAACAACTTTCCTTCCTTTTGCCTGGAGAGATGAGCTCTTATCCAGGATAGTGCCCTCCAACCTTACCAGAGCCTCAAGTAAGGAATTAAGGCCTGAAGGCTAATTTATTTCTTTATATTTTCTGATTTTAGAACATGTTATGTTCAGAAAAGGAGGTATATTCACAACCTATGCCTGTCTGTCAGATTGATAGAAAATTTGACCAATATCACATCTAAGAAATACTTTCAGAACTAAAAATTACAGACTTAATAAAATTTTATCAGTATGATGAAAAGTAAGCTTTATGGGGTTTTTTTTGTTAAAATTGAATGCATATATTTCTTCTCTAGAGAAAGCTAAAACTTAAAACAGGAAAGCTAAAGGTTTTTGAGGCTGTATTTATACCTTTTCTATGTACATCAGTTTATTTTTCTTCTGCATACAGATAAAAAAATCTGTATATCATTGCTCTTACCTACCTTCTTCCTTGCAGCAATAGGACTCCATTTAGAGAGGAGAGATACTAATTTAGCTGGCTGATAATCATCAAAAATAAAGTGGAAAAAGCCATTTTCCTGTACATCAAAACTGCCATTCCAAATAAATATACATATTGATATGCATTTTGGCAAAATATCTTTATTAAAAACCTCTAATAATTTATCAGATATGTCATATAATTTGATATATTTATTTATATGTCACCTAAGCCTTCAGAATATGAAATGGTGGAAGACACAATGATGTTCCAAGATAATTATCTCATTAGTTTATTTTTACTAATATGAGTTTATTGCTGCTACTGCTGCTTAGAATAGAATAGTCCTCAGAGCAGTTACTATGTAGCCAGAAATGCTCCTTGGGATCTCAACTTGTACTCCAATATCCTACTTCTAACCTTCTCCTCCCAAATTGTATGCTTATATTTTTCCCAAAGACAAAAGAGTGCTTACTAACAATAATTATCAGTCCAAATTATCCTGTACTTTTGAAAGTTCAACTGTAAAAATCTTGTTAAAGTAGATCCTTTTTATCTTGATCAAAGATTTAACAACTATAGAATGAATTTAAGAAAGTCAAATATACCAGTGGAAAAACATAAACAGTTTTATTCCCATGTCTACTAATGACCTAAATTTTTGTTAATCCTATTATAAGCAAATAATTATATGTAACAAATATCATAAGGCAGAACAAGAATTCATTAAAATGATTATGCCTCTTCCTATTTTTAAAGAAATTTGACAAAGTAATCTCTGTAGTAGTTTCTAGCTGTTAACATTTCTGTGTGCCTCTCATCTAAATATTTGTCTTTAGCTAACTAGTAATAATACCAATCAGTTCATTATTAAGTATGAGGCCATAATCATTTCATATATATGATTATTAATCCTTCAATTCTTATAACATCCCTACTATATAAGGTATTATTATCTCCATTAACAAATGAGACAACAGACATTCAAAGAGATTTAAAAATATGCTCAAAGTCCAAACCAATAAGAGGCAGAGCTGAAATTAAAGTCTGTCTTGTCCTGAACCTAAGATCTATGCTTTCCACATTAAATCTTCTTTGGTCATTTTGATTTACATATTAGAAAACCATTCTGACTGTGACCTGCCATCACCATGATCCAGTTAGGTCTGTGTAACCAGTTGGTGCCTCTTCAGCTCTTCCTGACTTTAGTAACTAACACCACCTCCAAAGCTGGGGCAGGAACCCTAAGCCCACCGTGTGCACCAAACACTTTGCTTGCCAATACTAGCTCCCAACAGGGCCCCACCTGCAATATGATTGGTTGCTCACTATTACCCCATTGTCCCTCTGCTTCCATTATCAAAGTTCTACTCCTCAAAGGAGCTTTTAATGCTTGTTATAATGGATCTTTCCTCAGGTTCTTCCATCTTTGAAACAGCTGCACTCATTGATTTATGCAAATTCATGTGTGTGGCTTCCCTTTCCATACTTTGATCATTGCTATTAGCCTTTAGACACCACTTCTAACTCTGAATCTCACCCTACAACACAAATATCAATGATGGCCTTTAAATGCAATTGTGTTTAACAATACCAGAAAATAGGTTTGGGTAGGTTGAATCAGATCTATAATAAACATTTTGAGACAGTAACTAAATGTAAAAATAACACTTTTCACCTCTAATTGTGAAATTTGTTTTATTTATATTTTAAATAACTATGGAATTTTAAATAATTATAGTATCTCTTGAAGTACAACATATATGAACCAAATGTGCTAAGTAGCATATTTGGGAGAAAGTAAAGTCAAGATGTCAAATGTTATTATTTAATAATAACTTAATTCTGTTACATTTAATCAATACTCTCTTTTTTGAGTATGTCTTAGTAATAACTGAAAATGGATTTTTTTATAACATATATTCTTCCAAATCCAATGAAACAATTATACAAAACTTTAAAAATATAAATGGTACCTCTACAGTGGTACCTCAGTTCACAAACCCTTTTGTTTGTGAAAAATTTGATTCATTAACAAAAATGCTTGGCAAAATTCTGTTTCTGTTGGCAAAATCTACATCAGGTGACAAACACAACCATGGCTATCTTTCCTGCATGAACACAAATATGGCCATCTTTTCCAAAATCGTGGAACAAATTAAATTCGTGAAACAAGGTACCACTGTATTTAATGGTCAGTAACATTTATGTGCAAAAACTTCAGTACTTGAAACATTAAGCAAGTAAAAAACTTTTAAAACACATCAGCTTTAGGAGAAAGGAAAATTATTGCTCCTTTTAAAAAGAACAATATTTGTGCTTCATTGTTTGCACTTATGTCACTTGCAATGCAGGTGCAGAAGTATAATATCATAAAGGGCTGTGCATTTTATTTTTGCTCCAGATTGTTACTTACAGGAGCCCAAAAACATTACTTTGAAAAATTATCAATTTACTGTGACAGATATGCTGAACAAATTCCAGTAACCTTTGTGCTTGGTAAGTATAGGTCACTCACAGAATGCAGCCACACAGCTGTCTCCGTTAGGATGGCACCAATGACTCTGCATGGGAGTGTTTCCACGCTGAAAGGCATGCCTGAAAAGCCATCGCTTGCAATAGGACAGAATCATCCATACAGTTTCTTGCCTTCGGGCTGCTTCTGCTAAATTAACAACAAACAAGTTTGAGGTAATAATCTGCTATTGAACAATTAAGCCTTCCCTTCACTAACTCTCCATTTTTGTAGTTAATACTTGAATTCTAATACTCACTTACTGGGTGTTTGGCACTGCCAGGCGCAAGTGACTTTTTTTCTTTCTGGAGGGCAAAATCTGAAGGTATGGATAATAACATATTTTTATTTCCCCCAACCCCTAAAAAGGCTAAAATTCTGCTTTAAAACATCAGTGTCACCAATGTGTCTACTGTAAGAAGTTTCTTTGTAATTTCCTCCCATTCTGCAGGATTTTATGTTACTCTGGTAGTGAACCGATGGTGGAACCAGTTTGTGAATCTGCCCTGGCCAGACAGGCTGATGTTCCTCATCTCCAGCAGTGTTCATGGACGTGACCAGCATGGGCGCTTGCTCAGAAGGACTCTGATGCGCTACGTAAATCTCACGTCCCTGCTCATCTTTCGCTCAGTCAGCACAGCTGTATACAAAAGGTTTCCAACAATGGACCACGTGGTTGAAGCAGGTACTGTGAATGGCTTTTCCTTCCATGGACTCTTCTCAATTGACATGTGGATCTCCAAAATCCTTTTGAAAATCTCTCTCTTTTTTTTGTAATGGGGATCAAACTCAGGACCTTGCACTTGCCAGGCAGGTGAGGCGCCGTTAAGCTGCATTCCCAAGCCAAAAATCTCTTGTATTTATTCATTCACTCAAGAAACATTTATTGATCAGTTACTATGTGCCAGAAGCAACCTTGAGAGGCAAAGATAAATAAAACATGGTTCCTGCCTTCAGCAGATAGTCGCATGGCCTTAAGAGAATATAATTATGATGGTCATATTAAAACAACCTATAATATTACCTTACAGTTTTCCAGTACTTTACAATATATATTATTTTGTGACTAGTTCATTTGGACCTTATGAAAAAGTGAGAAAACTTATTTGAATATGTCACAACCTGTCCTGAATCACACAGCTCATTAGCTGAAGAGATAAGATGAAAATGTAGGCTTGGAACTCCTACCTTAATGCTTTTCTCAAAGCATAAGCAGATTTTTGTACAAATCACCAAAGTTGATTTCCCCTAACCAGGCCTGAGAAGCAACAGTAACAGGCTGTTTCAGTGTGAACCTGGCATCTCCAGTGCCTCAGAGTAGATGCAGTTATTTTCTCTGGGTTCCTGCACACAGAGTGCTCAGAATAAACTATGTTTCAAGTATGGTTCTCTCTGGCATGTAAATATTTAGCAAAGAAGCCTTCACTAGGGTAAGGATTAAATGAGGTAATTCTCATAAGAACCCTTAGATGATTTTGCCTTTGTATTGAGTACAGTTTCAAATTAAATAGGAATCTCCAGTTTCCTTTTCTGAAATGTCCTTGAAAATAGTTTTTTAAAAAATATTTGTTTATGGAGTTTTCTGTGGCTTTTTTGTTGTTGTTACCTGTTCTTTCTCCCTACATGGGTACATAGAGAGTAACTAAGAGCACTAAGAGTTTGAATCCTTTAATGTTTACCTCCTACATGACCTCATGTGAGTTACTTAACCTCATTTCTCTCATCCATAAAATGGCCTTATATAGCACCTACCTTATACACCTAATAGGCTTATTATGAAAATTGAATGAATTAATATTTGCAAAAAAGTTCAGAGCAGTGCTTGGCACTTGGTAAGTGCTATGTGATTTCTTGCTACTTAGAAATCATCTAAAACAGCAGCATAATATAGAACTTTGATCACTTTAGAAGATTTATTGGGAATATGACATCCCAAGTCTCCTTGATCTACTTTGACCAGGAAATTGTGAAAGTCAAGGTGGAAATAAAAAAGGGGTGATGTAAATGATGTTGCTAGGGGTACACCATAGGATATGAGAAAGTCTTGGGGTATAGGGGTCCTATTGGCTAAGGATTCAGGTGGAGGGTATGAATGGCCTGGCAAGTGTACAGGTGTATCATGATGTAAAAACAACAGAAACTACACAAAAATTAACTACCATCTGTCCTCTAAATTTAATAGTAGAATACTTCTTCCAAATAATCAAATTGAAAATGCTACCTAACAACTTAATTTTCTTATCTTAATATCTAAAGAGTTAAATATTTTTTTAATTGCCACTTCTAAAGAAAGACCTAAGAACAAACAAGAAAGATTTGACCCAGCCAAATTGATGAGTGAGAACTAACGCTTACTTGGATGAATAGAGATGATATTTCTCTGGTTCTGACACATCCTTGGAGTAAAGAGAGTATGTTCTGACAGGAGTCATATACCAGGCCCAATTCTCAAAGCAGATCTCATCCTCCTACTGTCACGTCCATATTAAAAGCACATGGAGAGGAAGTCAGAACAGCTGGCAATGGAGAGTCCTTGGGGGCCTTTGGTCATACATGAGCTCAGAGGACTGAAGGGCAAATAGAAAGGGAGAGAGGCAGGAGAATGACATGATTTCATTCCCATGAGTATGTTTTTCATGGTATAGACACCTCCTCCTCAACAAACTCACACAGACGTCTATATGCACTTAAATCCAGGCTTTTTCCCTTCCAAAGGCATTGAAAATATTGGAATGCCTCTTTCTCCAAACCAACAATACCCCCACACACTCCAAGGGAATCTGAAAATGAGCTGTTCACTCCTTGAAATGCATTTAAACTCGTATGTCTCCATGATGTGATCAACAGACCCACAGGCCTCTACATCTTGAATAACTTGAGTTATTTATTTTAAATGCATATTCCTGGACCCCATTTCAGGTCTGCTGTATCAGAATCTGTGCTGTAGAGCCCAGGCACCTGCATTAAAACATGCTTCCATGTCATTTTGTGTACAGTGAAGTTTGAGAGGTACTGGATCTTTTATGGGTGTTTGTGTGTGTGTTTGTTTGTTGCAGCACTAGGGATTGAACCAAAAAAATTTGCACTGGGATACATCTCCTTTTAATCTTTTTTATTTTGAGAGAGGTCTCACTCAGTTGCTAAATTGCCCAGGCTGAGTTCAAACTTGGAATGCTCCTGCCTCAGCCTCCCAGATGCTGGGATTACAGACATGTGTCATCACTGGAATGCTTATTTTTTTAAAGCCCTTTTCTCACTCCTAGAGTAAAGGCTTTGGGAACCACCAACTCATTACTAACAACAAGTAGCAACGATTAAGAAAGAGTAGATTCAAAACCTTAGCTTCACCAGTTGCTCCAGAATTATAAAGGTGGGCTTTCAACAGCAGTCTGCCCAGAAGAGTTGAATTAGGACTGCTTAGACATAAACAGTGTTGATTTGACAAAATTTCTGGTTGGTTTGTTTGGTCTGGCTGAGGAGGAAGAGCACTGGGGGAAAGCTAATGAGGCCTAAGCCTTTCCAAGCACCCTGTTAGATCATCCCCAGTTACCTGTGTGAAAAAGCCCCAGTGCTTCCTTTAATCCTTGATGTTTTCTCAAGACGCAGGAAAAGAGGTAGTGGGCACATCCTGCTCCCACAAGAGTGTAAGTTTTGTGTTTTAGGCAGTAGAGCAAAGGTTCCAAGCCACTATCCTCTAAGCAAAGAGAGAGGCTTCAGAGGCGGGGTCCTTCCTGGCTGCCTCAGAGCCCGCACCCTCTATCCATGGCAGCGCTGACTCAGAGTCTGCACACTGGGTCTGTTTCCAAGTTCTCCTAATTGGGCACTTGCCTCCGCCACTCCCTGGCTGCCCCATGCCTGTGCCAGGGTTTCTGGGAAGAATAGGAAGTTCAGGGATAGTGGAAATTGTTTGGCAGATGCCCTAGACTCAGGGACAGGGCACCTGCTCCTGACTGAGAGCAGAGAAACTGGTAAATACCATCGGGTAGGGTAATGCTGCAGGCACACAAAACCTTGTCACTTGACTCCCCTACAGAAAATCACCTGTAAGGAAAAGTGCGTTTTCACGAACTTCAGTGTTCATTACATATTATTAAAGTCAATCAATTAAAGTAAAAAATGCAGATCTCCAGATGCTACTCTTAGAGACTCTGATTCAGGAGGTCAAAAATAGAGTCCAGGAAACAGTACATTTAACAAGGCAGATGGTCACTAGATCACACTCAGGAAAACAATAGGCTTAAAGCAATCGAGTATCTCTCCACCCTCTTCTCCCTCCTTCAGAGAAGGCTTAGGCCTGCATAGATTCAGGGCTGGCCAGGAGGAAGGAAGGAAGGGAGAGTACCAAGAGAATGAAGACCATGCCAGGGATTTAGCTCAGTGGTTTCGCTGCCTGCTGCAAAAGCACAAGGACCTGAGTTCAATCCCCGGTGCCAAAAAAAAAAAAAAAAGAATGAAGACCAGCAGTTCCTCCTGAAGCATCTAGCAGTTCCCTGATTGGAGGGGGACGAGCCAGGCCACTTACCTGCTGGTCTCCAAACTTTCCTTGCTTTAGTGTCAGCAGTCGTTATATTATTGTGGGAAGTAAAAAGTCTGCAATACACGCAGTCATATATATTCATATATATGTGTGTGTGCATATATGTACATGACTTGATTTTGATGTTGCAGGTTCAAATTAAAAATAAAAAGATGTTTTTTGTGTATATGAAAATAGAAATATAACTACTGAATTTAAAATAAAGCCCTTGAACTGCTCTGTTACCAGTTATTTATCAAAGGGATTGCAATATAGTCTCTGTTATTTTGCCTATCAGAGAAATTGTTGTGGAAAAGTCTAGTCATCTCGATGCCCTGAAAAAAGTCACTCATTCCATGGCAGGTGCACAATTCTAGATCTTTGCTAATTCAAATTATAACCTTAGTTAAGTGCTTGTATTATAGTGTCAGCCTGAATAAAATAATTTTATCTAGTATTTCATAAGCATCAAGAGAAAAAAATCGTTCTCTTCATAATTACTTAACCAGAAGCACAAAGATGGATAATAGGAAATATATATATATATAATCCCTCTAAAAGAAATATTAGCAAAGTGATGCTGAGTGTATTACGGATTTGCTCCATTAGACAAAACTTCACCAACTGCCAGGCACTGTGCTGGGCCCTGGGAATACAACTACTGGTATAAGCAAGAATGGGTATGGTCCCTGTCCTCAAGGATCAGTAAAATCACTGTAAATATTGTCTTACGTTAATTATTTTAAGAGACAAGCACAGTTATATTTAAATATATATATTTACAGCTAAACTTCATATCTCTACATTACATTTCCATCTCTCTGGAGTAGTTTCCTTCTGTACTTGATAATTCATAAGAGTGATTAGAAGACAGTAAATTTGTAGATAAACCACCCTTTTCTTTTCTTAAACCCTGGTAATCTTAACATGAAGTTTCATGAACTTGCTCTATGACTAAAGGGAGTGATGAGGCACCATTGGACTTCAGTGACTCTTATGGTTCGTAGACATCCATGCAGCCCAGTAATCCCCCAGCTGTCAAGTGGTTGTTCATTACAAGTTCTGACTGGAAGTGAGCCCTATTTGAGTTTCTGGCATAGATAGAGCATTTCATTGGTGATCTTCCCTTCTCTGCCTAAATAAAATCAATTGAATTCTGTATTACATTTCTGTGCTGAGGTCTGCCATGGGTTTTTCTGATGCCTCCTGTGGCTCTGGGGCTCCTTAGTCTTGAAATCTCCAACTGTTCTGTGTTACAGGAGAAAATGGCCAAGGAGACAGTGGAATTCACAGCTGTGCCAGATTTTCCTGTTGGCTGAACTTTCAGAGGCTGAGTCAGTTGCCCCTATAGTCTCACATGATGAGTCCGGAACAGACAGAATGTCATCTTGTGAGTGAAACTTGATTCACCTATGTGCACTTGCTCTGCTCAGGAGAGAAAGTGCAAGGCAGTACTAACCTCCTTGAGTTAATACCACAGATGGACAGTCTCCAGTGTTTGAAGTTTCCCCACAGTTCTGTTTTATGAGTTTAAATCTGTTCACCTTGGCGTTTCTGAAAGTGTGACTGTAGATCATAATTACTGAATTATCAAGGGTACCTATGTAAATTGTAGGTTCCCTGGCAGCCTAGGAAATCCAAGACACTGAGGCTTAAGAACTGGGAAATATACATTCAAACAAGCCCCCCAGAAGCACTGCAGGATGTTTGGCTCAAACTAAGAATTTTGAAATGCCTAGCAGTAGGCCAGTTTTTCCCAAACTCTGCCACACATTGGAATCACTCACTGGGGATAGTTTTAAAGTACTGGTATCTATCTGCTACCCTCAATGATTGGGTTCCAGTACCATTCTGATGTGCAGCAAAGTTTAGGGACCACTGCCCTAGGGCACATTAATTAATTCTTCCAATTTTATCTGCAAATTGCCTCAGATCTACATACTAAGGACAAATGAAATTCTGGGCCGATTGCATAGGTGAGGAGTTAAGCGTACTAATTTTGTGAATGTTATTTCTTACGTGTTGCTGTTTAGAAGGTGGTGAACTACTGAACAAGATATTAATTTAGTTGCAGGGATGTTGCTGACTAGAGATGTTTTGCTCATATCAGAAAAATAAGGGAATGTCTCTGTCTCTGTCTCTGTTCAGCATTACCTCCAGAGGCACTAATTTACCCCACCATATCCTCTTTCAGATTGTGCACTGTGGGCTGTAATTCATTGTTTGGTTCTTAAATCATTTTAATGGTTTGCAACCACCATTTTAATGAGATGGAATAAAGAACACAACAGGATAGAGCTAATAGTCATTTTATAAACCACATGTCTTACTGTACTGTACCTCATGGTAGAAGGTGCTTGATATACTGCCCTACATAATGCAGATTCCATAATGTGATTCCATCTCTCTCTCTTTCTATCTTGTTTTGCCTCTCCTTGACTTTTTCCAGTTGACAGGGTCGTCTAAACCTCTCCCGTTATATTTAAAAGACAGCTTTTGTTGAAGGGTGGCTTTGTTGTGTGCATTTAGAAAACACAGAAATGAAAATGAGGCAGGCACATTGAAGGCTTCCTGAAAAGCCTTCCCTCTAAGAAGGGCTCAGATGCTGAATGCATGGCCTTCTTTTTCAGAAAGAACTGCCATCAAACCCATTTTGCCTTCAAATTTTGAGATGACCTTTTAGTCCTACAAATAGAGCCTCACTTGATTCTCTGCTTAAAAGGCAAAAAAACACCTACCTCAGCTTCAACCAAGAAAAAAATAGGACAGCTATACAGAAGATATAATCTATTATGACCAGAATGTGTTTGTCAATAGAATTAATTCATCCTTTGGGTTGAGGGCAATAAAATTTCCCCTTCAGGTAGCAGATACCATTCCATCAAACCATAACTCAAGTTGCAAGTCAATGCAAACATATTTCTGTATTGACAGATATAGATATTTTGCTCTGATTAGAAATAGTAAAGAAGATATTTTGGGGAATAAGCAATATGAAAATGGTTGAGCAGAGCTGAGCCAGCCAGAGGGAAAAGAGATAGCAAGAAAAAATATAGGCATACACAATGACAGGACAAAAACCATGCCAGCCATGAGTATGGATAGGACCCAAAGGAGCATAACATGGAGACAGACATGGAAAGAAGACAGGTTGATGGGAGACCAGCCAATGATGGCACTGTCAAACTGTGGCATATCAGTGACTGTAATTAACATAGCCTTAGAGCTGAGTTAATGACCCTATTCTGAAAAAAGTATTGGCCTGTGGTTAATATTACTTGAAGTGCTGATGGAGGACAACATTCCATATCATGAAAAATTCTCTTTGAATCGATTTGGCCAACAATCTAGGCATTTTCTTTCAAATAACCAGAGGAGGTTACTTTGTATAAAATATGTGACCGCGCAGGGAATGACAAAAGTTATTCTGCCTATATACTCCTAGAGGATAGATTAATATCTGATCCATCTTTTATCTTTCACAACAGCTAGAAATCTTTCAATAAATTCAAGCTGAAAACTTACCAGCTTCCTTCCTCTACTGGTCCTTTCCAATCAATAGAACTCCTAGCTGGGCACAGTGGTGGATGCCTATAATCCCACCTACTCAAGAAGCTGAGGTAGCAGGACTGTAAATTCAAAGCCTGCCTCAAAACTTAGTGATACTCTCTCTCAAAATAAAATTAATTGAGGCTGGAGGTGTAGCTCAGTGATAGAACATTTCCCTAGCATGTATGAGGCCCTGGGTTTAATTCCTGGTACCTGGGATGGGTGGGGGACGATGTCCTACACGGAGAAAAGAGCCTAACTCTTGCATTGCTATTTGCACTAAATAAGCCTTCACTGTGTTTATTTGCTTTCTACTTAGAAGCCAAGAATGAATTTGCCATCACAGTTTGGTCCATGCTCTTAAATTTAAAAAAAACTAGAGACAAAGTTATTGTTTTGTCAAATTACAGAGATTGCAGCCACTATAAAAGTGGGATCATTTTTGGAAATTACACTATAAATCCTAAGAATATAACTGTTAGACAATTGATATGGAATATCTGAGAATAGGCTTACAGCTAAAGAACAGCTGCAGCAACTCTTTAAACATAAAGCCAAGACAGGTCAAATGCATCTGTTAACTTCTCTTTTTTTACATTTTTTATTTTATATGCTTGTGATACATGATAACTGCATTCATTTTGGGGAACTGGCACATGATACATAACACATCATCATCATTTTACTTCCCCTTCCCCCATCTATTTCCTCCCATCTCCACAAAGGCTACCTCCCTGTTTCCTATCATCTATTTTTCACTTTGCTCTTTACTTTTCTGTTGACTTCTTGAAATAACATCTAATCACACCCTGAAAGTCTTTTTTGAAAAAAGAAAATAAATAACAGATTATCTAAATCATACAACAACTCTGAGTTGTACTAAGAAGCAAGAAGTGAATTAACTACCAGGCTTTTTTTTTTTTTTTTAATCTCTGTAGAGGGCACCGTTCTCTAGGCATGGGCAGAACCCTTCTAAGCCAGTATTAGTAACCTGAGTATCATCTTAAACTAGTCTCCTATTTGGTAAATATTGCCTTTGTAATAGTTTAGCTGTTTACTTCAAATACTGAATAAACAGAACCTTCACTGGTTAGTACAGTGATTTTCAAACATTTCTGTATGTCACAGTTTCCTGCAGAGCTCAGTAAGCCTGCAACTGCCAGGATGTAATTCCATTAAATCACCCATGAGGATTTAAAAGAATGCTGATACCTGACTTCACCCTAAAACAATTAAATCAGAATCTGGGGATAAACTACTTGAGAAAGGAACCTTTATATTTCTTTAGTATCCCTCCATCTGTTTCCATAGTAGACTGAAAATACGGTAATGTACTAGTGCTAAAATAAGTTTGTATAATCTAGCTGTTTTTATTTTCTATAAGGTTTTATGACACCAGATGAAAGGAAATTATTTGACCATCACAAATCTCCTCATCTGAAATATTGGGTTCCATTCATCTGGTTTGGAAATCTCGCAGCTAAAGCCCGGGATGAAGGTAGAATCAGAGACAGTGTTGATCTACAATCATTGATGGCGGTAAGTACATCACAAATCATCAGTAAAAGATGTTGACTATCTCCCACAAGGGACCTGGATATAACAGGTCTGGCCAGGAAAAGTCTGTTTTGTTCATTCTGCTTCCAAAGGAACAGAAAGATCAAGCTGCTAGTATCTGAACCCACAATGTGCAAGACACAATGCATAGGTTGAACTCAGATTGCTTGGTTGTAGTTGCTAGGAAGGTATGTTTTATACAGAACACTTTGATAGGCTCTGCAAATAGTGTTCCTTGATTGATTAACCTTGGACTGCCAAGAGCTCTGGAGAATACAATGCCCACACAGCATATTTTTCATCCCTAGTTTCAGGATTCTAAAATAAAATCTGCACAGAAAGAAAACTTCCTCAGCCATTTCCCAAAAACGAGACTGTCTCAAATTTAAGTCAACATCTCAGGTGCTTCAGTAACAAAAGAGTGTTTTCCCTAAACAAAAGAACCCTGAATTGGAGCTGAGAATGTGAATGGTAGAACAGTTCCCTGACATGTATGATGCTCTGAGGAAAGAAAGAAAGAAAGAAAGAAAGAAAGAAAGAAAGAAAGAAAGAAAGAAAGAAAGAAAGAAAGAAAGAAAGA